CAGATCTCCTTAAATGTATCCTATTTGCTGATGATACCACTTTTTTTTATTTTGGTAAAGATATGAGACAGATGTTTGAGTTGATGACGGCAGAATTTGTTAAAATACAAGATTGGTTTAAACTAAATAAATTATCATTAAATATAAGTAAAACTAAGTACATGATATTCAGTAAAAAAAAAAGGGAAATTATTGATGTTCCATTTACGATTGATGGTGTTGAGATTTGTCGTGTTAGTGAAATGAAGTTTTTGGGTGTTGTCATTGATGACAAATTGACGTGGAAACATCACATAAACTCTGTAAGGATAAAGATAGCCAAAACTATTGCAGTATTATACAAAGTCAGGAACTTGTTAAATGATAAAGCCCTGTATTTGTTAAATAACACAATTATTGTCCCACATATAATTTATTGTATTGATATTTGGGGAAAAGCATGTAAAACATTTACGGAACCTGTTTTCTTGCTGCAGAAAAGAGCAGTAAGAATAATCACTAGAAAACATTACTGTCACCCATCTAGCACATTATTTCATCAACTGAAAATATTGAAGTTCCATGACTTGGTGGATTATAATATTTTACTAGTTATGTATAGAGCTCATATAAATGAACTACCTGTGAATATCCAAATATATTTCATTAAACGACAAAGCTGTTATAATCTCAAGGGAAAGGAAATATTTGTTAAACCAAGATATAGAACCAGTTTGAAGGGTCGGTCAACCTCAATCCAGGGAATTAGATTGTGGAATGGTTTGAAAACTGAAGGGAAAAATGCAAAAACAACTATTACTTTTAAGAAAATAATTAAAAATGGACTTCTGCAAAAATATATATGAAATACTGTTATGTATGTTGCATTATAGTTCAAAAATTATAGTGAATTGTTCTTTTTTTTCTTTTTTTGTTTGTTTAGGTACTTACAGATGATTGTTGTTTGATTTGAATTATTGTAAGAGGGGGCAGATAAAATAAGATTTTTTTCTTCCTTCTGCCACCCTTGATTTTATTTATATATTATATAAACTTAGTTTGCATTATTGTTTTCTTTTTGTGTTGTATTTTAAAATGAATAAATTTAATTAAAAAAAAATTAAAAAAAATAAAAATAAAAATAAAAAAGATGTCTGTAAAACAAAACTGAACTGAAATTAAAAATAAAAGAGCTAAAGGGACTTTAAGATTTCTTTCCTGTTTAAAAAAAATACATTCATTAAACTAGTCTTAATACGTAATTTGTAATCAGAATCAGAATCTGCTTTATTGTCATTGCACAGATAAGTACAGCAAAATTATGTTCCGTAGAGCCGTCCGAAAGATGGATGGAAGTGTACCACTGAGAGCAAGCAAGAATTTTTAAAAATATTATTACATATATATATATATATATATATATATATGTATAATTTAAATATTGATTCTTCTGCAAAGTGAAGGTCGGAGGTCACAAAGGCAAAAAGTTCTGTTGTCTCCATCTGTAGAAGCTGCTGGACTCTCAGAGCCATGGGGACATCACCGGATATGAGGTGAAGTGGGAGAAGACTGACGAGAAAAACCATCTGAATCGGACCTTCCTAACTCCTGACATTTACAACCACACCCTGAGTCTGGACACGACACAACAACACGTTGTCACGGTTACAGCAAAGAACAAATATGGCCGCTCACCGTTATCAACCATCATCATTCCAGCCATGGGTCCAGGTACGATAGGAACCTTAGAGATGTGATGAAAACACAGCAAAGATCAGACACTGATCACACCTCAGTCATTCAGTCACTTTTCATGTGGACAACAAGCAGCTGCTTTTTAAAATAACTTCCTGTTCAGATTCTTGAGTCATATCTGAGGAATGCTCAACTGCTCTTTATACAACTTTATTTTGTAAGACAAAAAGGTTTATTTCGACCTGTTCACACAAACAACTTTCTCTGCTAAAACTCAAAAAAAATGCAAAAAGACCAAAATGTTAATGCTAAAGAAGCAGAACATTAGCCAAAAGAACCAAAATTGAGCTAAACGTTTGCTAAAATTAGCTAAATAGTAGCTGCTAGCTAAATGAATAATGGAGAAAAGACTAGCTAAAAGTATAAGGCTAGCTAAAAACTAAAAGTACTAGTAGTAAAAAGCTAGGTAAAAAAGCCCAACATTTCCTAAAAGCTAAATGTAGCATACTGTTAAAAAATAAACAAAAATGCTAGCTAAATTGAATGAGCAAACTGATAACTAAAATTCAGAAAATGCTAGCTAGCAAAATGATATATAAATGCATAAAGGTGCAAAAAAAACTAGCTAGAAGCTAAAAATAGTTAAAGGCTGTCCAAAACCTAGAAGTAGCTAAAAGAGGCAAACTGATGATAAATGATACATTAAGATGACCAGATTTCTGAATTTAAATCTGGGGACATTTCTTTTGGAGACAAAAGAATTTACAAGATGGCGCCTTTGTTGATGGCACGCAGTCTACCTCTCCTGAATTTGTTAAAGTTACTCATGTTTTGCCTTCTCTTCATTCATGATGTATCCTCACTTCTAGTGTATGACCGCTCAACTCTGCTAAAGATCCAGGATTCGCTAAACAACGCACCAGTTTTTGGTAAAACTGGACATTTTAAGAAACCACCGCCCTTCCTGGCGTCTGTGCCAGCCTATCTACGCCGCACTACCGGGACGTTGCTACGCAACAAACGCCGCAGAAGACGTGGAAGGAGAGCGGGAGTCCTCGTCAAATTCAAATTCTACCTCTCCTCTCACAGTACGGGTGATCATCGGCTTCTACTACAGGACTTACCTTCGGAGTTTGGCATCGTCGACCTCCGGCGTTCCCTGGTTTATCGTCATCGATGCCTCGTTCCTGTTAATCCTGGCGTCAACTTTCAGTTTCCACCTTGTCGCTCTGTGGGGACTAGGAGGGGGGGCTGCGTGCAACAGAACCTCCGCCCGCTTGCCCGAGCAGCTGATGACGCAAATGGCTGTGTACCAGCGCGTGCAGCCCTGTTTAATGCCCGATCGCTCTCAAATAAAACCTTTATGCTAAACGATCTGATCTCTACTCATCATTTGGATTTATTCCTGATGACTGAGACCTGGCTGAAACCAGGGGACAACAGTGCATTTTCTGAGCTCCTCCCACCTGGCTCCTCCTACCTGAGTGCACCGCGTGTGTCTGGCCGTGGGGGCGGTCTCGCTGCTGTGTTCAGTGATAAACTCACCTGCCGCCCACTGCCTCCTCAAAACTACAGCAGCTTTGAGCTTCAGCTGTTTGTGATGGAATCTGCACACCCCCTGCTGTGTGGTGTTTTATATCGCCCACCAAAATATAATAAGGATTTCATTAATGAATTCTCAGAACTGTTAACTGAACTGTTGCCAAAATTTGACAGTTTGCTTTTATGTGGTGATTTTAACATTCATGTTTGCTGTCCCTGTAACCAACTTTCTGCTGACTTTCAAAACCTTCTGGATTCTTTTAACCTGTCACAATCTTTGTCAGTGTCCACACACAGTCATGGTCACACTTTGGACTTAATCATCTCTCACGGCCTTCGTGTATCTGTTATAGAAATTTTGGACACTTGTATTTCAGACCACTTTCCTATTATATTTGAATTTTCCACTCCTCCCCCAGTAAAAACTATGCTTCCAGCACGTCGCTGCCGCTTCATCACTCCCTCCACTCCAGGTCAGTTTGCTGCTGCGTTTAGAAGCACTGACTTCTACTCTGCTGAAAGTCTGGACTCATCTCTACATCCAGAAGAATTTATCACCTCCTTTCAGTACACTTCTACAAAGATCTTGGACTCCATCGCTCCTTTAAGACAGACTTCTACAAAAATCAAGCCAGATCCCTGGCTTAATGGTACCACTCGGACCTTTAGACAACTCTGCAGGAAAGCAGAACGCAGGTGGAAGAAAGACAGGCTTCATGTGTCCCAGGACATACTGAGAGACTGTCTTCATGAATATCAAAAAGCTGTTAAGCAGGCCAAATCACAATATCTTTCTAATTTAATTTATACCAGCTGTAACCGGCCAAGGGTTTTATTTAATACCATTCAGTCTGTCATTAATCCCTCCATCAATGTTCTGAAAACTGCTACACAGTCTACCTGTGATGGTTTTCTTGATTACTTTGTGAACAAAATAGACTCTATCAAGCAGAACATTGTCAGTACATATAATGCTGTTCAGTTATGTGCTCCCTCAATAACCTCTGCTGTGTTTGATCAGTTCCACCTGGTCTCACTACCTCACCTCGTTAAGGTGGTTCAGCAGATGAAACCTACAAACTGTACCCTGGACATCATTCCCTCTAAGATGTTCAAGCAGTCCTTGGATGTTATTGGTCCTTGTCTTCTGACGTTTATTAATAGCTGTCTAAGTTCAGGTTATGTCCCGTCTGTTTTCAAACATGCTGTGGTCAGGCCTCTTCTTAAAAAACCGGGTTTAGATCCTACAGCTTTTTCTAATTTCAGGCCAATTTCACACTTGTCATTTTTATCCAAAGTTCTGGAAAAGGTTGTTTTCATTCAGTTGCAACCTTTTTTAGAACACAACAACTTGTTTGAAAAATTTCAATCTGGCTTCAGACCCCGCCATAGCACTGAATCTGCACTACTCAAAGTACAGAATGATATTCTTTTGTCCCTTGATGCCAAAAAACCTGTTCTGCTGGTGATGTTGGACCTCTCAGCAGCTTTTGATACTGTAGACCATCAAGTCCTAATCACTCGTTTGGCTCAGCAGGTTGGCCTTCAGGGTGTTGTGCTCGAGTGGTTTAAGTCCTATTTAACAGACAGAACTTTCTCTGTTATGATTGGTGATCTGTCCTCTTCTTCAGTCTCTTTGACCTCTGGTGTACCGCAGGGATCCATTCTGGGGCCTGTTCTCTTCTCACTTTACATGCTACCATTAGGACCCATCATTGCACGCCATAATCTGTCTTTTCATCTGTATGCAGATGATCTACAAATCTATCTGCCGGTCACTCCCAGTTCCTCACTCGGTTTCAACTCTATTGCCAGCTGCTTAAACGACATTAAGCACTGGCTGTCTCAGAATTTTCTCCACCTCAATAACGATAAAACTGAATGGATTTTATTTGGTGCTTCCAGTAACGCATGCAACATCTCTCCCAGTCTAGGTTTTCCGCTCCCCCACGCCAACCAGGTGGTAAAAAATCTAGGAGTGGAGCTTGACTGTAACTTAAAGCTAGATAAACAGATCAGTTCTGTTGTGAAAACCAGCTTCTTTCAGCTCCGTCTGCTTTCCAAAGTAAAATCACTCCTTAGCCGTAGTGATCTGGAGAAGGCCATCCATGCCTTTGTGAGCTCTAGGCTTGATTACTGTAACACCTTATATGTCGGTATAAATCAATCTTCTATCTCCCGTTTACAGCTTGTACAAAACTCTACTGCTCGCCTGTTGACTAACACACGTAAATATGAACACATCACTCCTGTCCTTTCTTCTTTACACTGGCTCCCGGTTCAGTTTAGGATACAGTTCAAGCTGCTGCTGTTTGTTTTTAAAGCTTTGAATGGCCTTGCACCACCTTATATTTCAGAACTTTTGAAAGTCCACCAGCCCAGCAGAGCTTTACGGTCTGCTGGTCAAAATCTGCTGGAGGTGCCTTGCTCAAGGTGCAAACAATGGGGGGACCGGTCCTTTTCTGTTGCAGGCCCAACAGCCTGGAATACTCTTCCCTATGAGCTGCGTGCCATCTCTGATCTGGTTCTGTTCAAAGCCAAACTGAAAACATACTTATTTAAAAGGGCTTTTAATGTTTAACTTTTAGTAGTTTAGTATTTACTATTTATTTTTTTATTTTATCTCTTTTACCTTCTTTTATTCTCGCTGTGTTTTTAATTTGCACTGATGTATTGTGTCCTGTTTTTAATCTTGTTTTGTCTTGTGAAGCACCTTGGTCAATGCAAGGCGTTGTTGGAAGGTGCTATAGAAATAAAGTTTATTATTATTATTATTAAAAAATAATAAAATGTTATCAAGATGAAATTCAGAAATGTGTACAGTTACATGTTCATTTCTTTTTATGTATTTATTCATGTTTAAACAATAAAAATCAAATGTAGCAGCAGGAATGTGCCTCTCCACACACATTTCCCAAGAGTAATAATACAAATAAAGTAATAATAGTAGCAATGGTGTCAGAAACATTTGTAATGTGGGGGGACACAATAAAGTAGATGTCATTTCCTGTATTCTGGTGTATTTTAACCCTCCTGTTATGTTGCGGGTCAAATTGACCCGTTTTAAAGTTTAACAGGTTGTTAAACATCTATGTTTGCCTCCATAAGAAAACACTTGATTCAGTTTTGGCGAGCACAGAACAATAAGTGGTTTGAGTATTCTAGTAATCAAGTGGGATGGATTTGTTCACAAAGAAACCAAAACAGCGCTGGGTGAACTAATATGGTTCTGCGAGGCCCCCTCTCTGAAGAGCTATCACCCACTGTAGCCATGGAGGTCTAGAATAGAATAAGATCAGAAAAGGTTATGTACAGATAATAGTAAAGTTGTTTTTCTTCTTTCGGTTGTTCCCTTCTTCAGGGGTCACCAATGCGAACTAACTCGCGTGAAGACTTGGCAATTGTTTTTACACCAGATGCCCTTCCTGACACAACCACAGACCACCAAGTGACCACAGCCCTTTGTGTGGAGCAGAGAGCTAGGGTGCCCGGGG